AGCTGAACAGAACGTTTTCAAAAGAAGAAGTAAAGATGGCTATGAAACATCTTAAAGGATGTTCAACATCACTAATAATCAGGGAAATGTATGCTTGTTTTAAAGAACAGGTTCAGGGAGGCATTCTCCCTCATAGCAACTTCATAAGAATAATTTCCAAGTTCCCCACAGAAGTCCCATAAGGTATACCACCAGGCATGCAGGTTTACATAGTCCAGACATAGGAACCTGTTAGATAATTTTCACCATGAGTGGCACTGTATGTCTGGTAGCACAACTGAGAGTTCCCCGCTATCATGCTTTAGAAATGGGAACAGAGTTGGAAATAAACATGGATCAAATTCTCATGTACAAAGAGAAAACTCCCATAATTCCTAAGTACTGACTTCTTAGAACAAAAACTCAAATATACCACTACCAAAACCTGATTTTATCTACTTTTGACAACTTGAGTTTTTTCCCTTAGGCTTCTATCAAATCAGCTGGTATCATATCCTTACCTATTCAGTGCAGTCAATGACCTAGAAGCCATTCTTGATTCTTCTTTCTTTTATATCCACTTAACAAATCTTACTGACTGCTGCCCTAAATATCTTCTAATCTACTCCTTCCTATCAAGCTTATAAATGTTACTTCTTGTGGAATAACAAAATGTCACAAGACCATGTTATCTTTCACAGTATTCATTTTTCATCAAATACAAGTTTTTCTGTGCTTAGGGAAACTCATAAGTTAAAAAGACTCTTCATTTATCATTTCCTCTCTGAATTATTGAGATTTGTTAGGGTCAAAGAAAATAAAGATCTTTGTGGATTCTGTGAAAAAGCTTTCCAGTCTTGCACATGATTAAGCAAAAGCAGAAACAGTATTTGATTACCTGAGTCTTACATCATACACCTCATTCCGAAATTCAGAAACTATTATCTGTGGCCGAGAAGTCCCTGATGGATAAAACTTTTTCATCAATGACTGAAGCACTCTCTCATCAGAATGATTATGGCAACAGTAGGCTTGCAGAAGTCCTTTTAAGCAAGATTCAACAGCCAAAGCAAGCTCAGGGTCTCGTAGATGAATGCAAGCACCTAAATGTGAAAAATATTGCAGGATTTATACTTACTAAGTTAGTTCTAGTAATGGTTCACAAATGAATTAATATTTCCCTATAAAGTATGCTAAGCAACATTATATCCTTATTTTTAACTGAATGGGAAATCCCTCCCCACTGAATATGGTGGGGAAAAAAAACACCAAATCCTTGAGAAAACTGTCCCAATCCACTGAACACCAACAGTGGCTTTTTCTATGTTTTCACTACCCTAGTCTCCCAACTGTCAGAGATTTACAGATTCTTTAGTACTTTCTATAAAGCTGATTAATATGCAACTTTCAAATTAGGAATAGGAAAATGCCTCATCCACCAAAATAGATGCTATAGGATCTTATCATCTAAATAATGAGCTATTATTGCCAGTTAATACAGTAGCTTACTAACAGAAAATATTAACATTCATAGCACCATTGTCATTTAATGAAGTGCAGAATTAATGATCACTCCCTATTGAGACCAGCCTACTCTACACAGTGAGAGTACCAGGTCAACTGGGACTACAGGGGTACCCTGTCTCAAAAGAACCAAAAACCAAAACCAAAACAAGCAAAAAAGATCACTACCTAGGATAACCTGACTAAACCCAAAGTACAAATACAGTAAATAATTCAATTATCATAGATGGTACGATTAGAAGGGGATTTAGAGATCATGATGTCTAAATGAAATAATGATTAAGAAGTAAATAATTTTATAAAAGTTACACAAAACTGAGAGTTCCTTTGTTTTGTTTCTTACTACATCATGTCAATAGACTATCTAATTAATTATAATTACTTTCCCTAAGTTCTCTTTCTTTTGTCTGTTTTAGATTTTAAAGGTACAAAAGGAAAGGTAGAAAGTTTAAAGTGATTTTTCTCATTTTAAAAAACAGGAGCCATATCTGGGCACAGTGGCATACACCTTTAAAACCCAGCACTGAGTAGGCAGAGGCAGGTGGATACCTGTGATATTGAGGCCTGGTCTACATAGTGAGTTCCAGGGCAGCTGTGGCTACAGGAAGACCCAGTCTCAAAAAAGAAAGCCAGGTGTGGTGGCCCATTCCTGTGATTCCAGCACTGAGGAGGGACAGACAGGAGGATCAGGATCAGGAATTCAAGACTAGCTTGAGCTATATGAGACTATGTTGCAAAAGCAACAATAACAACAAAACAAACCACAAAGTATAATTAAGGTATACATAATTTATATAAATTTATATTTACATATAAATTTAGAAAATTTTTTTCTTCATGGTTTTTATGTGTATGTGTGTATTATCTGCATGTATGTTAAGTGCACTTGTGTTATGCAATACCCTTGGAGGTCAGAAGATGGCGTTGGATTCTCTGGAACTGGAACTAGAGTCACAGATGGTTGTTAGTCACCATTTGGGTGCCAAGAATGGAACCAGGGTCCTCTACAAGAGCAGCCAGTGCTCTGAACTACTGACCAACTCTCCAGGCCCATGTATTTACATATACATTTTTGTAAGTTTATATTTACATATAAATTTATATGAATAATTCATATAAGGTCTATAAATAATTCATATTAACTATACAGCAAGATTAAACAGACTCCTTCCTAAAACTAAAAACTTATGATATTCTCAATAAGCAATGGCAAATACCTAAAGGGCCGATAGGCTTATGGGTAAAATGTCCCCGTCTGTAAGCATCGTCTATTGCTTCCAGAAGAGCTGGAACATGAGGACCAAATCTTTTCAGTTGATCAGTTTTACTATCTTTCAAGTCTTTCAGCTGTCTCTGATTATAGCTCAGTGTATGCTTCACATCTAAATCTTCTCTCCTAAAAAATGAAAGTAGAGAAATAAAGCATATTTGTAAGTTACACAGACATGTCCAGGCTTTGTTCATAATGCTTCCCTATTAACCAGTGACCTTACTACCCTAAAAATACAACTTTGAATTTTATTAGACAAAAACAGTCAGCAGTTCTCAAAACTTGACATGAAAAAAGTCATATAACAGTAATGAACTCAGAATCCTAGGAAGTTGTCCAAATGTACAAGTTTTACAAAAATTTTAAAAGACCTTTATTGGTAAAACAAAAATATTTTCTCTTAGAAATATCAAAACTACATGATGCTTAAATAATTAAAAGGTTTTAACTTACTTAATTCTGATATGTTCTTGTTTGCTTTTTTCTATGGCTTGGTGAAACTGTTCAATCTCTTGATTGATCGAATTGTCCTGATCCTGTAAGGCCTTTACCCTCTCCTTTAACCAAGATATCTTTCTTTGCCTTTCCAACCGCTCAGGTTCCAAAGACTGATCAGTGCTAAGAAAGAGTAAATAACACACAGTAGAAAATGTTACATAAAAATCTGACATTTAAAATATAAATCAGTGTAATAAAATCCCAATAACAATATAGAAGATATAATACTCCACCAAACTTGATTACTTATTACAAAGTGATCATGAGAATTGTGATGTTACAATTCTACCTTTTCTTTAGTTCTTCAATTCTTTTACAAAGTTGTTCATCATCTTTCTTTAATGCTTTATATTCATTTAGGGAACGGTTATATAAAACCTAATAAAAAATTAGATATATTTTAGTAACATGCAGAAACAAATTATCCCATCAAATTCATTTGTCAAATTTCCAAATTAGAAGCTGAGTATATAAATCTACATAATAATATAGCATTAATTTTATATAACTTTAATATATTTGACATATTAAAATTTCATAATTCTATAATAAAGCACAACCATGACCATTTGAAACTACATTTTTCAAATGAGAAACGCAACACAGGATTTTACCAAGATAGAAAAACTACTTTAAAAATAATTAGCAGACAAGGAAAAGCTAATAATCTTTATGCTTGGTATGGAGTTCTTAATATTCCAGTAGAAAATTTGTTACCTCAGCTTCGTTATAGGCTCTTGTCTTTGCAATGACATCTGTTTTCATTGCCATACATTCTGGCGCTCGGGCATTTGTCTCTTCACTAATTTTTTCTAATTTATCTTGAATATCCTTGTACTTCTTTTCTGCATCATTAAGTCTGACCTTTAAGAAAAAAAAAAAATGGAGTGTATCTGATTTTTCTTTAGCAAAGATAGAAAAATGTAAAAAATATTTATAGTGCATATTACAATAAAATTTTACTCAGGTCATTAGGCAAGAGCCAGTGAGATGACTCAACTAGTAAGCCTGAGAATCTGAGTTCAATCCCCAGAACCCACATGGTGAAAAGAGAACTGATTCCTGTAAGCTGTCCACAGAACTCCATCCATATTCATGCATGCCGTGGCACATGCATGGCCCCCCACCACACACAAAATAAACAAATAAATGGGGAAAACTTCAAAGTTTTCAAGATGTTATGCAAGCAAACACAGCTATATAATATCCTAAAACGTAAGTTAAATTCACATTTATCCAATAAATATGCTATCTTCTAAGGATACAAAGATATAACAGTTATCTTTTAGATAAGACAACTTGGCAGATACACAATTTAACAGAAAAATAAATGCAAACTGAATTTATGTGAGTGTATGGGAAGGGTTGAATTTCCATTTATTACCTGAAGAGGGAATAAGAAACCTAGCCCAGAGATCACAAAGCAAATGCAGTGTTCACTGTTTCTACTACTTTCCCCTAGATGAATTAACATCAAAAGTAAAAAAATATCTGCTTATCTTAGAGAAAGATAGGAAGCAGTAAGCTGGAGAAGATTATATCGTACACTACCATCAGGATTGGAGGTCAGAAGCTTCTAAACAAAGTAGAATAAAATTCTAAGAGGCAAGTAATCTACACTGACAGGCAAACTAGACTTAGGAGGGCACATCCTATAAAGCACAGCTTCTTTTTATTTCTGAGATACACTATTCTACTATGCTTTCAATTGTTGTGATAAAAACATTGACCAAAATCAATTTGGGGAGGAAAGGGTTCATTTGGCTTACAGCAATGTCAGTCATCAAAGGAAGCCAAGGCAGGAACTCAGGGCAGGAACCTGGAGCACAAACCATGAAGGTATGCTGCTTACTGGCTTGCTCTCTTAATCTTGAGCTCAGCCTGCACTCTTATATAATACAGAACCTGCCCAAGGGTGGCACCACCCACAGTGGGCTGGGCCCTCCCACATCACTCACCAATCAAGAAAATGCCCCCACAGGCCAGTCCAATGAGATTCTCTCTACCCAGGTATGTCAAGTTGACATCTAAAGCTATCGAGCACAGTCTTACTGCGTAGCCCTGACTGGACTACCACTCCATGTAAACCAGATTAGCCTAGAACTACCTGCCTCTGTCTAGAAGTTGTCCAAATATACAAGTCTTAGAAAAATTTTAAAAGACCTTTATTGGTATAACAAAAAAAATTATATTTTCTTTTCATAGAAATAGCAAAACTATATGTTTAAATAACTGAAAGTTCTGAACTTAATTCTGACATGTTCTTGTTTGTTTTTTCCTATGGTTTACCTCTGTCTTCCTAGTGCTGGGATTAAAGGTGTGCACCACCATGCCCAGTGCAAATATAGCTTCTTAAACTGAGTTGTGACACCACATGGTCAAGCAACTGAAATTTGAGGGTTGCAATAACTTTGGTAGCAGTAAAATGTGCCATAACCAGAAATTAAATTAAAATCCAATGAGTAATGAACTCAAAGTGTTTCTGGAAGCACTTGCCCACGCTGCATCATGCAACTTCACTGCAGGCGTGGTTCTGAATATACAATACACATTTTGCACTGTGCATGCCATCACGTTAATAATACTAACAGTGCCTAAAGCATACCTCAGCTCAGATTCCTGAGTTTTATGTTATGAATTACAATGTTTTATATAAACTTTTCTCTTCTTAGAGAAACACATGGTTTATGGAAAAACGAAGACTTTTAATATATTTCTACCACCATTCCTCAGCTTGTACTAAAATTCCTGAAGCTTTGGGTTGTATATTAGGATATTTCCTATTTGAGTTGCTAACTTGAGTTTAATTTTTTTTTAATATTTTATTTTTTTATATTATGTGTTTGAGTATATTGCCTACATGTGTGTTAAGTGCAGCCATGTTGTATAATGCCCATGGAGGTCAGAAGCGGGTGTCAGATCCCCTGGAACTGGCGTTACAGATGGTCATTAGCCACCACGTGGCTAACTGAACAGGGTCCTCTGAGAAAGCAATCAGTGCTATTAACTGCTGAGCCATCTCTCTAGCCCCTATTCAAAATTTTTATTATTATTGTGCATGTGCATGACGTGTGTGTGTGGGTGTGTTCATGTCATAGCATGTATGTAGAGGTCATAAGACAACCTGGTGGAGTCAGTTCTCTCCTATCTTTACGTGGGTTCTGGGGATCTGACTCAGGTTGTTGCCAGTCTGTGTGGCCCTGAACCATCTGATTGGCTAGCAACTGAGCTTTCACTTGACCTAAGGTAGGTGGAGCTGAACTTTTTACTTCATCCTGTTAGACTTCAAAACTGCCTCATGTTCTTAATTCATAGATCTCTAACTATAGAGAACATGGCCAACGTATTATGTTATCTGAGTTGCCATTGCTTATGGTAAATAGACTTTCTAATTGATAGCTTGCCCAGCTAATACATCCTTGCTCACAACATGACTCTGTAAGGTCAAGTAGCCTCTAGCAGGGAGTGATGTAAGTACTATTTAACATGAAGTAAATTTTTTAAAAAAAAATGTAATAACTACATGATTAGAAGACGCATTTCATTACAGATTTAACATATTTAGTAACAAATTCCAGAGCAAGGATACATCACTTTCAAAACTGGAATTAAATTTTGAGGTTCACAGTTGAATTAATAGTTATACAATACTGAACTCAGTATAAACCCTGTAAGACATAATATTGAATGAGTTTTTACCCCTTAAAGAGGATCTCCATTTCATTTTAAAATATGCTGTTTCCTACATTTTTTTTTTTAACATTTCTGGTTTGGGGGTTTTTTTTTGACATTTCTGGTTTTCTTATTTATTTAATAACCACATAATTAAGAAGCATTTCATTACAACAGCATTGACATATTCAATAACAATTTCCAGAGCTGAAATGCATCTTTTTCAAAATTGGCTGAAAATTTTGGGGTTTATAGTGAATACAATATTGTACTCAGTATAAACCCTATAAGACAAAAATTAAATGAGGCTTTAACCTTTAAAAAAATCTCCATATCATTATAAAAATACTTTCATACAAAAAATTAATTTTTAATGCAACTAACACTAACATGTTTGCACATGCGCTTCTAATCTCTATATATCTGATTACTAATAGTCACAGCTGGTTATTTTTCTGAGCACCTTGACATCTGAGCATGTATATAAAGTCAAGAGGCAGATTTCAATGGTAACGTTTTTAACATCTATTAATTATTAAGGAGCAAATTTTGATGCTTTGAAGAATTATTATTTTATTAATTTTTTGAACATGTTTGCACATGCGCTTCTAATCTCTATATATCTGATTACTAATAGTCACAGCTGGTTATTTTTCTGAGCACCTTGACATCTGAGCATGTATATAAAGTCAAGAGGCAGATTTCAATGGTAACGTTTTTAACATCTATTAATTATTAAGGAGCAAATTTTGATGCTTTGAAGAATTATTATTTTATTAATTTTTTGAATTTTGAACTTCCCAGGTAGCACCCTCCCAGGTTTTCTACATTTTTTTTAATTTTATTATTTATTTTTTTCAGAAGAAGCGTATCATTACAGCTTTAATATGCTCAATAACAGCTTCCAGAGAAAACATACATCTCTTTCAAAATTAGCTATAAAATTTTTAGGTTTGCTGTTGAATTAATACAGTTATACAATATAAGAAGCATTTCATTACAACAGCATCGACACATTCAATAACAATTTCAAGAGCTAAAGTGCATGTCTTTCAAAATTGGCTGTAAAATTTTAGGTTTACAGTTGAATTAATACAGTTATACAATATTGTACTCAGTATAAACCCTATAAGA